GCCAACACAATTATCAGTAGGCATCCCAGGAACTATGTAGAAAAGATGAGAAACAAGGGCAGTTAGTGCAGGTACCCAGGTTAGATTCAGAGTATTTCAGTCTCATCTCAAGCTGTGCCCCTAGGATATTAGCACAAAGATGGTTGAAGTGTAGATGTTACCAATGATGTAAAGCCACCCATATTAGCCTGACTTTATATTTAAAAATGTTACTCTCTTTCTACCTTAATCCAGTATTTGTTACCAATTTTACTCTTTTGGATTATTTCAAGAAGCGATACAACATTCTTTCCTTTGAAAAGAACAGATAAGGGGAAAATATTAGACAACAACTTTTAAAGTGAATTGGGAAAGGCTTTTTTTTTTTTTTGCACACTCAAAAAGAATAATTTTAAAAAAAGAGAAGACATTGCAGAGAACAAACAGAGGAGAACAATAATGCATAAGAGGAAATGACAGTTGTGAGCAAAGAGATTGAAAGAAACTAAATGATCCTGAAGAGTCAGTCCCTAGTACTGTAATCAGAATACCTCTTTTCCATTCTAAACTGTGTTGTGTCATTTATCTCTCTTGCCATGAGAAGAATCTGGCCAAAAAAGAGAAGAACATTGAGGGTCCCATAAACTTATCCTGAAGTACTCAGAATCCACACGCAACTTATCACAGTTCATCTCACTCAGCACAACAAAGGTGTCCTTGAGGTTGTTGAGATGTTTTATGCCCTTACCAAAGGAGTCTAGCATCTTCTTGACATGGGCCTTCATCTTAACGTTGCCCATAATATCATCAGCAGAGGACAAGTCCCCAAAGGACTCAAAGAGCTTTTGAGTCCAGGGGTAGGCAGCTAGCAGCCTATGGGGTGAAAATAGCACAAGGTCAGAGGGCGTCACCACCTCCTAGAATCTCAGGGGACGGCTCTGTCCCCACACTCCCAGCTACCATTCACTCTCCTTAAACCAAGGTAGGTAAGCTGAATAACTGCCTGCCTAGGGTTTCAACACCAACTTCATCCACCCTCATCTTGCTCCAAAATAACATGAAAGAAAACTTCTCCTTAAAAGTCAGTTTAACCATAATGCCTGTTTGTGTAGTTGCAAGTTGTGTCAGAAGCAAGTATAAGCAGCAGGGACCTGCTCTTTCTTTGAGTCCTGCCCAGCTTCCTGCTCTCCCTACTTCTGAAAGCAGATTAGCCCAGGTCATAACACAAGTTCATTAGTTTGGGGGAAAGTAAGGCGCATTCTTGTTCCTCAGTGACCTTCATCTGTGACTGGCTGATCCAGTGTGTCTAGACTCAGAAACTCTGCTCTCCCTGTTCTTATCTCCCAAATTGATTTCCTTCATCAATTGCTTCTACAAATTTATTCCCAGTCTTATTTATGTGTCAATATTTTAGTATGATATTGTACAATGTGTCTCTTACAGTTTAAATCTATGAATTACAGTTTAAACCTATGAACTGCAGAATTACTTACAGAAAGTAAGACTCAGAAAGCAAAAAAAATTATCAAACTGTTTCTACAGGGACCTACACTGTTTCTAAAGATATTTGTAAAAGGTTGGAATGAATAACTATTTTGTCACAGATCTAACTTGTTTTCATTCTCCTTGTATAAATACTTTGGGTCACAAAATTCTATTTCTCCCCATCCTTTCTTTGAAATAAATGCCCATTAAGTAAGTGAAAAAGAAGAAATGATGTCTTCTACCAACTACTGAAATAGACTTAATGAACATGGATTTTATAGGAAAAAATTAAATGAGAAATAAAGAAATATATAGCTATGTTATGACTATAGAGAGAATGCAGAGGAATTACAAACAAGATTTACTTATTCAGCCTGATAAAGTCTGACAGGATTTCTGGGAAAACAAAAAGTGCAGAAATTTTCATAGCTGAGATCCTCAGGAAAAAAAAAAAAGTGGAACTGGACCCAGGAATGAAGATTCAAAGTAATTTTCACTGTCCTCAACTCAAAATAATACTACAATTATATACAAATATATTCCAGGATAGATGGAAGGGAAGAGATGGAAAGAGGATGGAAAGATGGAAGAAGAGAAGGAGGGTCTAAGAGGAGAGAAAATAATGGAATGAAAGTGAAGGAGAAAGGAAATAACATAAAGAAGAGATTGACAATTTCAAAATATTGCAAAGCTGTAGATAAACAAAATTTTTTATACTTTGCTTGGAAGAGAGTTCCAGAAAGGCATCTATTTCTGCTTTATTGACTACGTCAAAGCCTTCAAGTATGTGGATCACAATAAACTGTGGAAAATTCTGAAAGAGANATTATATTCTTCGCAGTCAAAGATGGGGAAGCCCTATAGAGTCATCAAAAACAAGACAGGGAATTGACTGTAGCTCAGATCATGAATGCCTTATTGACAAATTCAGACTTAAATTGAAGAAAGTAGGAAAAACCATTAGACCATTCAGACATGACCTACATAAAATCCTTTACAATTGTACAGTGGAAGTGAGAAATAGATTCAAGGGATTAGATCTGAGAGGCAGAGTGCCTGAAGAACTATGGACAGAGTATCGTGACATTGTACAGAAGGCAGTGATCAAGACCATTCCCAAGAAAAAGAAATGCAAAAAGGCAAAATTATTGTCTAAGAGGCTTTACAAATAGCTGTGAAAAGAAGAGAAGCAAAAGGCAGAGGAAAAAAGGAAAGATATACCCCTTTGAATGCAGAGTTCCAAAGACTATCAAAGAGAGATAAGAAAGCCTTACTCAGTGATCAATGCAAAGAAATAGAGGAAAACAAGAGAATGGGGAAAACTAGAGACTTCTTCAAGAAAATTAGAGATACCAAGGGAACATTTCATGCAAATATGGGCACAATAAAGGACAGAAATGGTATGGATCTAACAGAAGCAGAAGATATTAAGAAGAGGTGGCAAAAATACACAGAAGAACTAGACAAAAAAGATCTTCATGACCCAGATAACCACCATGATGTGACCCCTCACCTAGAGCCAGACATCCTGAATTCGAAGTCAAGTGGGCCTTAGGAAGTATCACTACAAACAAAGCTAGTGGAGATGATGGAATTCCAGTTGAGTTATTTCAAATCCTAAAAGATGATGCTGTGAAAGTGCTGCACTCAATATGCCAGCAAATTTGGAAACTCAACAGTGTCCACAGGACTGGAAAAGGTCAGTTTTCATTCCAATCCCAGAGAAAGACAATGCCAAAGAGTGTTAAAATGACCACAAAATTGAACTCATCTCACACGCTAGTAAAGTAATGCTCAAAATTCTCGAAGCCAGTCTTCAACAGCACATGAACCGTGAAATTCCAGGTGTTCAAGCTGGATTATAGAAAAGGCAGAGGAACCAGAGATCAAATTGCCAACATCTATTTGATCATCAAAAAAGTGAGAGAGTTCAAGAAAAGCATCTATTTCTGCTTTATTGACTATATCAAAGCCTTTGACTGTGTGAATCACAACAAACTGTGGAAAATTCTTAAGAAGATGAGAATTCTATACCACCTGACCTGCCTCCTGAGAAATCTGTATGCAAGTGAAGAAGCAACAGTTAGAACTCAACATGGAACAATAGACTGGTTCCAAATCAGGAAAGGAGTACGTCAAGGCTGTATATTGTCACCCTGCTTATTTACTTTCTATGCAGAGTAGTACACCACAAGAAATGCTGGACTGGAAGAAGCACAAGCTGGAAGGGGATTGCCAGGAGAAATATCAATAGCCTCAGATATGCAGATGACATCACCCTTACGGCAGAAAATGATGAAGAACTAAAGAGCCTCTTGATGAAAGTGAAAGAGGAGAGTGAAAAAGTTGGTTTAAAACTCAGCATCCAGAAAACTAAGATCATGGCATCTGATCCCATCACTTCATGGCAAATAGATGGAGAAACAGTGGAAACAGTGAGAGACTTTATTTTTTGGTGCTGCAAAATCACTGTCGATGGTGACTGCAGCCATGAAATTAAAAGACCCTTACTCCTTAGGAGAAAAGTTATGACCAACCTAGACAGCATATTAAAAAGCAGTGACATTACTTTGCCAACAAAGATCTGTCCAGTCAAAGCTATGGTTTTTCTGACTCTTTGCAACCCCATGAACTGCATTCTGTCAGGCTCCTCTGTCCATGGGATTCTCCAGGCAAGAGGACTTGAGTGGGTTGCCATTTCCTTCTCTTCTGCACTCTTGCAGATTCTATAATTTTATACAACCCCACTGTTCTTAAAGAGCCAATTTATCTTCCTTGAATTGGACCTGACAGGATGGACCTTGAATTTGTCATATTTCCTGATTAATGGCCTTTATCTCTGGCAAAGGCTTGATAGAATTAAAAATGTGTTCCAGGTCACAGAGCTCCCATGTAATATAGCATTAGTACCATGGCATGTCAACCCACGCCAGTATCATTGCCCAGAGAATCCCATGGGCAGGTTACTGTAACCTGGCAGGTTACAGTCCATGGGGTGGCAGAGTCTGACATGACTGAAACGACTAAGCATGCACCATTGAAGATGCAAGGAAAAAGTTAAGAACAGAGCCCTTGACTGGGTGTCTAAAAATACCATCTTCATTGCACTTATAGCTACTAAAAATATGACTCATTAAATAAAAGTGGTCCAGAAAGAGCTCTATCCAGAATTTATACAAATAACAGACTATACAGGTCCCTTACTTTGTGTCATAACAGCTCACTATTACAATCATTTTGCATCTCTCAGGGGTAACTTCATCTCTTTCCTTTTTCTAAAGACCTTCTCCATTTCAGGAGTCTAATTTCCCCTCCTAGATTAACTACCCACTGAAGTCACTTTTACAGAATCTTGTTAGGATTTCTTCTATAACCCTCCCAAACTCTCAATATCCAGTATGCCCAGTTCCAATAGGAATGCTTTTTTTTTTCCCAAATCAACTTATAAAAGATAAAAACAAAGAGAAAATACAGAGCCATTCATTATAGACTCTGACTTTTATTTCATTTGTATTATATTGGAGTTGTGTCTGGAATCAGAGCTCTCTCCCTCTGTCTTCAGGAGATGAGCTGTTGGGACACTGGGCCCTCAGATAAGCATCAACATGGTTGGCCAGGCAACTAGTGGTACTTGTGGGCCAGAGCATTAGCCACAGCATTTGTCAGCTTCTGCTAGGCAGCCTGCATCTGCGGGGTAAATTTCTTCCTGAAGTGGGTTGCCAAGACAATCAATATTATGTTGCCTAGGAGCTGGGAATAAAAAGAAGATAGTGCATATGAAGGGAAGGTCTCAAGCTGCCCTTCCAGCAAATAGATACAACATCCATTTCCTTCTTCATAAGAGGTTGAGCAGCTTTCAAGGCCATGTTCCCACAAAAGTGCATCATTACAGACCTGACATTGGCTTCAGTGACTCCCAGTCTGAACCCCCACTGTTTTATATCCTTCTCCCATTTTCTCTGTCAACTTCCAATCCCAGAGCACTGCTATGTATTACTTCTCTCCTTTATTTTAAAAATTAATTTATAGTGCTGAAAGGGGACTTGATATGCATATTGTGTCTTCAGATATTACATACATTCAGATTGTTTGGACATCCATTTGACAAAGAATCCAGCACCTTGTATACAAAACCATTTCATCTTTGCTAGAGACTAGAGGAGGAGGCACAAATCGTGAAAAGTTGCTCTTATTTTGCCCTGTTTAGTCCTGATTCAAAAGTCAAAAAATCATAAAGAAATGTATTCACCAATTTTCATAGAAAATTTCAATTATCAAAGGCAAGATATCCTTTTGCTTGGCTCAGTTTGTATTCTCCAGGCCAGAACACATAGCTCAAGTTAGGTTAGTGTTCTTCACAGCATTTTCATCTTTTTTCAGAATTATCAGATGACCACTGACCTCCACTAGTAATAGAGTAATTACTTGGTCTTACCTTTGACCTCTGGAACAATCTATCAAGATCAAGGCTTTCTCTGAAATATTACCTCCAGAAAATACTTCTATAGCACAAGACTTAAGTTAGTGTTCGCTTTATAACCACAGCACAGACACCTGGATGAAAGAACAAAGCACAGACATGCCCAGAACTCACTCGGAAGTTCTCAGGATCCACGTGCAACTTGTCACAGTGCAGCTTGCTTAGATCTGCAAAGGTGCCCTTGAGGTCATCCATGTGCTTAATGGCATTTCCAAAGGAGTTCAGCACCTTCCTGCCGTGGGCCTTGACCTTGGGGTTGCCCATTATGGCAGACTCAGAGTGTAAGTTATCAAAACTGTCAAAGAACCTCTGGGTCCATGGGTAGATGATCAGGAGCCTATGGGATGATCATAGTCACAGAACAGATGAGAAGTCAGAGTATGTAAGAAAGCTAACCAGCCCCTCTTTTCTGGAACACTTTCTGCCTTTCTACACCCTGTCCAACCTGTGTCCAGTGCTTACCTTGCCAGGCTCTCACCGCCGACCGCCTCCACATTCACCTTGGCCCACAGGCTAGCAACAGCCGCCTTCTCCTTGGTAGTAAAATGCACCATGGTGTCTGGGAGCTTACTGGTGAGCCTGATGGGCCAGAAGCAAGTCTGTGCCCCTGCTTCACTGCGTGGCCTTTTATTCCTCATCTCCTGTCCCCAGGCCCTTCCTTCCCCCAATAAAATGAGACTATTGGTCAAAGGTGGGGGGCTACCACCAGGGGTGGGACTTGGGCAAGGGAGGGTCAGCGAGATGGACATTTGTGTCTCTGATAGTGTTGGTGGCTCTATCAGCGATACTCTGCTGTCGTTCCCCCTACCGTCTACTGTGCAATTCATATCTCAAGCTCCCCACCACTGTTCCTGAAGTGACCAGTAGGCTGACCATGAGGCATAGCTAGAGTTAAGAAGAGTGACATTTGGAACTCTGGTGAGCACTGTGTCAGGTGTTTACAAGACATTGTTCTGCTGTTCAGCCAGGGTGTATTAATAGAAGAAGCCACAGCTCTTCTTGGGTTACCAATGCTCCTAAAGCTTATATGGGGCTCATACTTTTATAGTTCTCATAACCAAGTAAAAATGATCCCAATCCAGCATCAATTTAGAAACAAGATAGGTAAGAACTAGGTAATTTAGAGAAGAACTGAACATCACTCCTTTGTTACTGAGTTCCATCAGTAATGTATGCACTTGTCTGAATAATTTTTTTCACTCTGATTATATGGAAAGTTTCTCTGGCCAGGACATGTATCTAGGCATTCATATCAGAGAACACACTATTGAATATTGGGGAATAGATGCTTCTGTGTTTAATGAAGAGAGTATTAGAATTCTCCTTGGCAGTGGCTCCAGATGAACCGAGTTGTCACATGTGCTGGGTCCACACTCATGGCCGAGTGTCACTTTTCTATCTAATCAGTCAGAGGCTGATTAGATCAGAGGCAACCCTCACTGACAGTACTCCACACACCACTGCCACTGTGATCTAAGGTACTTTGTTCTCATGCATCCACACAAGCATTTACAAGACTGGAAAAGACACATTTATAGTGGGAGAGGGAATGATTCATTTTATCTCAGAATTTGTTGCTCCCACATTTTGACCTCCAGAAAGCTGGTTTGTTTCTCCCTGAGATCACTCTTACAAATGTATGTACATATAATAAAAATAGTTTTCATGTGTATTTATAGAGGGACTCTAAAACTTAGAATTCAACCCAACATATTATATTAATAGCTAAATTTCTACTGTTAAAAAATAAATCCTTCCTGTCTATTTGATATAGTGAGACACTTTTATCTATTCAGCCTGGAAAAGACTTAAATGTAAAATGTGGATAAAAATGTCTGTTTCTGGAAGCTGGTTTATCATGACAGAGTGGATAATCTGTAAGCACTGATTTCTGTGAGCACTTTGGTACAGAGATATAAAGAAAATAGTTTGGATTAATGCCAAAAGGATTTGCTTCAAGAAAAGAGGTTAGAGAAATAAAAGAAAGAAGAGGAAACTGTGACCACAGCCAGGAATCTCACTCACACTCAGCTGGGGTCTGGCCTGCAGGGGTGGCTCTGGGTCCTTTCTATCTCTAGCCCTGATGCCCATCTTCAGCAGAGTATTTGCCCCCTGCAAGGCCCCAGACTCAGGGGTTTCTGCAGCTCTGAATGTTGGGGAATAACTGCCCATCTTTTCAGCAAAGCAGGCAATGATTCTGGAAGTTACCTCTAGCTCCTGATTTTCTCTCACTCTTTTTAGACAGTCCCTCACTCTGAGCAGTTTACAATGGTCTCTCTTTCTTGAAATGCTATAGCCAGCCTGCTCACATGTGTCTCCTCACGGCAACAATCAATTTAACATTCCCTCCCTGGTGGTCTTGTGGCTGAGATTCCCAACAACCAATGCAGGGGCCCCAGATTCCAACCCTGGTCAGGGAACTAGATCCTACATGTCACATTTAAAGTTCCTGCATGGTGCAAATTCAAAGATCCTGCCTGCCACAGCTAAGACCTGGCACAGCCAAATAAATAAATAAAAATAAATATTTAATAGAAACAAAAAAGTCCTAGAAAAAAAAAATTAGCCTTCCTAAAGCAACTGTCTTCACTTTAACCAGAAAGTTCTTTAGTAAAGCCCATGTGCAGTTCTTTGAAGTTGACTTCGAAAAGAGGTATCCCCTGCTCTGACCTCCAACCCCTCCCATCCGAATCTCTCTTCACCAGGGCTGGGACAAGCCAGCTGCTTTTAGAAAATGTGTTCTTAGAATGGAATGACATCCTTACCTGGACATCGCCATCTTAAGACCTGGGCTAATTTTCCTATAAAGAATCTCCACTTTGGTAGTCTACCTCCATGCAGAACCTTTGCCTTCACTGAAGTCTTTTTTTCAGACCCATTTAACCATCTGCTCCTGAGGAGTTCTTGTCCCCTGATAGCCTTCCCCTCCCACCTGAATGCTCCTATATCTTTAACTGGAAAAACTCACGAGTATGTATTTCTCTCAAGTGTATGTCCCAACCACATCCCTTTGGTGCTCTGTTTAATTTTCCTGCAGAAATTTCTACTTCATGCAAAAACAGAATGGTGAGCCTCCCCAATCCCCTCTGATTCATGTCAATATGTGGCAAAAACCACTACAATATTGTAAAGTAATTAGCCTCCAACTAATAAAAATAAATGAAATAAAATAAAATTAAATCACATGAGAAAAGCAGACCTGGGGGCAATTACTCTGAGAAGAACTTTTAGCAAAGCATTACTGCTACTGCTACTCTTGTTGCTGTTATTATTATTATTAATTCAATAAAGCTTTTCCTTGGTGGCACTGTACTACTCGGCAGGGCCCTCAGTGATATTTGTGGGCCAGGGTGTTCACCAGCCCAGTCACTGTCGTCTTCCAGGCAAACTGCACTGGGGGGTTAATTCTGTATCAAAGTGATTTGCCAGACAATCACTAGTACAATTTCCAGGAGCTGTGGAGGTGACGAGAGATAACAGATGTGCACAGTGAGCAGAGAGTTCCAGGCTGGCCTCTCCACTCCCGTTTTGAACTGAGTGATATCAACTTCCCACAAAGCCTGGGGCCTTGCCTTGTCCCTAAGCACAGCTAGTTTGTGTCCCTTGCTAGACTAGGACTTGACCATGATTTCGCTCCTATATGCCTAGCACCAGAAACTTCATATTTTGTGGGCATAAAAATAAACACTGGTAGCTTTATTACTGTACTCACTCCAGCCCACATGTTCCAGCTGTTTTCCTCCCTCGGAAACACTTATCCCACTTCTGGATTTATAGGACGCAAACTTGAAATGGCTGTCTAGAAACAATTCTGTACAAATGCTCAGCCAATGTATGAATGTGCTGTATGCTTAGTCACTCAGTCATGTCCGACCCCATGGACTGCAGCCCACAAGGCTCCTCCCTCCATGGGGATTCTCCAGGCAAGAATACTGAAGTGGGTTGCCATGCCGTCCTGCAGGAGATCTTCCCAACCCAGGGATGGAACCCAGGTCTCCCACAGTGAGGGCGGATTTTTTACCATCTGATCCACCAGGGAAGTCCTTATGTATGAATAGCCTTAGCAATATATTTGTGAACTCTAGGTACTTTCCTTATACAGAGCCAGTATATGCTGCATAGACATTTCTCCTTGGCATTTTTTTTTTCTGCTTCCAGGAGAGGAAAAGTGAAAAATAACAAAGGCACAGTTCCTTTCATACAGTTATACTTTCTAATAGACATTTTCCTCATCCCTATATAGGTTTCTTCTAAAAGTAAACCAAGTCCAAACAAACCCCTCTAGACTTCTGAAAGTAGTCTCTAGTCCCTAATGCATTGCCTCTTGGTCTTAGTTCGGTCTTCTGGAGTTTCTTTCCTTTCAACCTCAATACTTCCAAATGTTTCACCTCCCACAGCTATCCTTGCTTCTTTAACATCCCTCTGTTTTTGGATTCATCTCTTCTCTTTCCTCTAGACCTGTCTTGCTGATTTCTCAAATTCAGGCTTTGAATTTTCCATTTCCTCACCAAATAATCTTTTATTTCCACCAAAGCTCATTCAGTTTCAATAATGATAACTATTCTAATAGCTAAATTTTTTAAAAGCATTATTATTAGAAACAAAAGATCACATATATTTATGAATACATATTCATATATAATGCATATAGATAGAATTTATAGATAACATAAATAGTACTGCTAAAAGATAGAAGTATAGATACAGTCAATTATTTTTAGAGAAAGAGATAAAGAGAGCTTATGTTCCAAGTAGTGAACTAAAGATGTGGGATATGTTAATGTATTTAATTCTCTAAAAAATGAACTTAGATAAACATGATCAGTGAATGAGAGCTTAAGGTACTAAGTGATGCATCTCAAATTGTAGAGCTAGCAAGATGTTCAAATTCAAAACAAAGCAGCAGGTTCTAAGGTCTTAGGGCTGGCTCCCCATTAGTACAAATGACAACACTGGGGAAAGGCCAGGCAAGGGCCCTTGATTGTACTCTAAGAAACACATTCCATCTCAGGACAGCTGATCAAATACTATATTTCTTACATTAAATAAAATTAACTATAATTTTTTTTCATACTTTCATTCCCATGGGTCCTCACATGTATATTCAATAACTCTTTGTTGAATGACTTTGTGTTATAATTGTTCTATGTACTGGAGATTTAAGATAGACAAAGAAGAATCTAATTTTGGGGTGGGATATATAGAAAGTGAATAAGTAAACCCATCAACAAATAATTTGAGCTATTATCATTTGTAATTAAGGAAATTAATATCTGGACATAATGAGAGAAGGACACAATTCCATCAGAAATAAATCTCTCTAAGAAGGTCATAGTTGAGGCAGCCCAGAATGAAAAGAAGGAATCTGTCAGTGGAGAATATTGGGATAGAGGTCCTGAAAGTTGGGATAGTGGATCCAAACCTCTAAAGAAGGTAAAACAAACGTGTGGTATGCTAGAGATATGAGTGATGGGCTGTTTGATATGTAAATAGTAAAAGTGAGAATGGCAGAAAATACTGTTGTAGAGAAACCATAAACCTAATAACTTAGAACTTCTCCTCAGTGATAGGGAATAAAAAATTATTATAGGATTTTAAACCTAGTAATGACAATCTCTAAACCCTCTGACTCTTACTTAGATTAATATTCCCAGATAATTGTGTTATCACATTAATTTTCTCAGCTGACTTTTATGGTCTATCAACAATTAGACATCTTTTCATCTATTAAAGATCTGAACCCTCTAGACCTGAATATATGCATATGTGTGTGTATAAATTATATGCTTTTTTTTCCAGTTCAATTATCCTGAACTGGCAAAATCCATGTCTAAACCTAGATCACTAAGGGTTGAAGAATGTATCTTCTTCTTGCTCCTTCACCATCACCATCCCTGACCCCTTGATGTTCAGAGTTGGAGTAATAGTTGAGAGGCAAGAAGGATGAAAAAGAGATCAATTGATTTAAAAAAGCACATTGCTCTCAATCGTTGACTGACTGGATGAGAAGTTTTCATGTCACAGAGAGCCTTTCTTTACTCTATTTAGGGGCAAATTAGGAGGCAATGGGGAACTTTCTTGGTGGTCCCCTGGATAGGAATTCATCTTACAATGCAGGGAACGTGGATTCAATCTCTAGTTGGGCAACTAGGATGCCACATGCTGTGGAGCAACTAAACCCAGAGATGCAACTACTGAGCTCAAATAATGCAACAAAGATCTCCCATCCATTACTAAGATCCAATGCAGTCAAATAAATAAATAGGCAAGGGAGCACAGACAGACCAGTGTGTTGACAGTCTGCAACAATGCAATCACTGGTCTTTTACCCCCATTGTGAAGACAAAGGGCCAAATTAGAAGGTAATTCACAAGACATATTGAGTTATTTGAAAAGACCCTGATGCTGGGAAAGCTTGAAGGCAGGAGGAGAAGAGGCCGACAGAGGATGAGATGGTTGGATGGTATCACTGATTCAATGGACACGAGTTTGAGTAAACTCCAAGAGTTGGTGATGGACATGGAGGCCTGGCCTGCTGCAGTCCATGGGGTCGCAAAGAGTCAAGACACGACTGAGTGACTGAACTGAACTGATTGTAATTAATGTATGGAAGTAATGAAATGAATGTCTCATAGAGTTAAATTTGCAATCCTCAAGAGGACAGTTTGACTCAAATCCTGGAGTTCATGATTCCCTAAGCAATCTGGCAGTGACACCCTCAAGAATAATTCAGTTAATGCTTCTCTTACATGAAGTCCCTAGGACACTGCAGGTCTCTTTTTAGAGCCAGGCTGTGAGTTTTCTCATCTGCTGCCACCCACTTCCTTCTCATCCACCCCAGTTAATCAGAAAAGATGTCCTCTTCACTCCCTTTCTTCATCCTTCACTTTTTGCAGACCTCCTTGATCTTCTTTCAGGGCTTCCCTGGAGGTCAGTGATAAAGAATCTGCCTGCCAAGCAGGAGATGCAAGTTCTATCACTGGGTCAGGAAGATCCCCTGGAGAGTAAATGGCAACCAGCTCCAGTATTCTTGCCAGGAAAATCCCATGGATAGAAGAGCCTGGTGGGCTATAGTCCAAACGGTCACAAAACATCAGACACAAATAAACACACTGCTCTTCTTGGATTGAATCCATTATGTCTACTCTCCTCAATTAGCATCCATATCTAGTCTATGCAATTTTCAATTCATTTTGTGTGAATTAAGCAGATTACTCGCCCCCTCCGAATCCTACTCCTTGAGTCATTTGAAGTTCTAAGAATACTTATTGCTTACTCTTACTACTATCAAAGTAATAATTTTTATTTTTATGTTCAAAGACTTATATTATCTAGTCTTTCCTAATCCTCTACCTATGTCTTACTCTCTCTTCCACTTTCAGAGAGACATTTTCATGCACATTGCCAACCTCTGGCTGGCTAATTTTAGACTATGAGACTTAGTTAGTATATTATCTCCTACATGAAGTCTTGGTCGTCCCCCTGTTCATCCAAATTCATATACTATCCTAAGTCTAATTTTACTTTAGTACATATTACATTCAATCAGAATATGATACAGAATGATTTCAAGTGTATTAGACTTGGCTTTGTAAGGAGACAGTGGAATCCTTTAGAAAAGGGTAAGCTATTGTTGGTTCATGGAGATTTTTTGAAAATTCTCTACCATCCTTCAACTGATATTATCTCCAATTCAGTCTCGTAAGATATATGATAACTTAGTTGATTCAAAATGTACATTGGCGCAAACTGAAATGGTAACCTGAGTCTAGATGATGAATCCCTACAAAACTTTTATTTTTTTCTGCAAACTCTCTGACATGTACCATAAATCTATCTTGTTTTCTCTCAGACACCACTCACTACATCTGCCTTCCTGCTACAGTAAATTTTTGCCACACTGCCCTGTGGCAGTCAGTCCCCAACCACTAAAATAAACATTTCCCTCACCAGAAAACTTCTTTCTCCACCTTAACTTTCTCTCATTAACCCTAAATCCTACCAGAATATCTGTCTTCCACTGATGAATTTCCCAATGCTTCAAAGGACTGTTACTTCTTCCTGTGTCTCTCCCCATCCTTCAGGTAATGACCCATTTCTCCTTCAGCTCAAGATGAAATGATAGAGAAGATACAATGTTAATTTTTGATCCCTGAATAGAATGCACTGTATTAAACAGAAGCTGGGTTCTCAAGGCCAAACCCCAGTCCCCATGGGCAGAAGGAAGGCACTGGGGACATAAAATGGTGAATTGAAAAGAGGATTCAGTGGTATTTGTGGGCAAGAGCAGTGGCAACACCAGACACCAGCTTCTGCCAGGCAGCCTGCACTTCAGGGGTGAATTTTCTGCCAAAATGAGTAGCCAGAACAATGACAATCACTTTCCCCAGGAGCTATTGGGTGAGAGACAGAATGACAATTAAGTATCCCAAGTAGAAGTTTCCTAAAGGGGTTGCAGAAAATAATGGCTTGGTATCTACACCCACTCCCAAGTCCACATCTTAAACTGCTCAATGGGTTGTACCTATACAATAAACCCAGATGAGCTTGTCCTTCAATTTAATTTAAATTCTATGAGCCCTCCATTCAACATTTGTCTACCTATATCCCCTGCCTCTCTCCTATTTCACTATTTTTATTTGCCTCTCTCCCTCCCTCTAATTTTTATATTCATAGGATTTCAGGACTGCATGGGTTCCTAGAATGAGTTTAGTAAAGCCTCCAACCAATGCAGCAATAAACCTCCACTTAGTCACAATACTGAAGGGTAATTTAATGGAGAATTGATCTATTTTTCTTTGGGTGAATGGTCTAAAAGTTATTCTCCCAAATATTTTCCTAACTTCAGTCATCAGGAATCAAATAAGATATTTCTCCTTTCTTGAGATTGGACTTCATCTATCAAAAGTCTGATTTTATTTATCCTTGAACAAATATGCTACTCTTTGATATTCTCTGGAGTAAATACATCTAGTTCTGACAGAAGTTGTAGAAAATTTTTATGAAAACTTAAGGCTATTCACTGTGACACTAATGATAAAAAACCTGCCTGCCAATGTAGGAGATGTAAGAGATACAGATTTGATCCCTGGGTCAGGAAGATCCCCTGGAAAAATAAATGGCAACACATTCCTGTATTCTTGCCTGGAGAATCCCATGGACAGAGGAGCCTGATGGGCTACAGCCATGGGGTCACAAAGAATCTGACACTGAAAGAGACTTAGCATGCAAGCACTGTAAGGCTGCTCATAGATCTTTATGTCACTAGTCCTGAATCAAGGTGGTCTCGGTATGACCACTGGAAGCTCGTCCTCTTAACACCAAGTTTGATCTATGATTTCTGAGATCTTGCTAGTCTTTCCAATAAAACACTCAACTTCTATTATTATTCCAAAGTCAAAAGCCAAAGGGATCACATGAACACTTCTTGAACTCACCCTGAAGTTCTCAGGATCCACATGCAACTTGTCACAGTGCAACTCACTCAGCTTAGCAAAGGCACCTTTGAGGTTGTCTAAATTCTTAATAGCTTCTCCAAAGGAGGTCAGCACCTTCTTGCCATGGGCCTTGACCTTGGGGTTTCCCATTATGGCAGAGGCAGAGGACAGGTTGCCAAAGCTGTCAAAGAACCTCTGGGTCCAGGGGTAGACAACCAGGAGCCTATGAGGTGAAAACACAACAGATGGAAAATAAGCAACTTGAAATTTTTTGAAGAATTTTCTGGTCAATTTTCCAGGCTCATATCCACCATCCTCCCCCAAGAAGTCCATTTCCTACCTGCCCAGAGCCTCGCCTCCGGCCTCTTCCACATTGACTTTGGCCCACAGGCCAGTGATAGCAGCCTTCTCCTCGGCAGTAAAATGCACCATGATGTCAAGTTGTGGAGCTTTCCCACAGGCCAGTGATAGCAGCCTTCTCCTCGGCAGTAAAATGCACCATGATGTCAAGTCGTGGAGCTTACAGGTGATCACAGAAGCATCAGAAGCAAGTCTGTGCTGCTGCGGGATGCTGTGGCCTTTTATTCTTTACTGCTGAACTTCTGACCCGTTGCTCCTCCTTGTCTTAGAAGTCATTGGTCAAGGTTAGGCTGTGTCCCTCAGGCATGGAGTCAGACCAACTGATGGTCAGAAAGGAAGACGTATATTGAGTGTATGATAACATGTTGGTTCCTGAGACATAATTCATTTGTTAGGGCCTCCTCCATCCTCAACACTATTTTCCACTCATCCCTATTTTCCCCCTCAGCTCTTCCCATATCCTCCTCCATGATGGCATCCATCTTTCCCATTCTCCTTCTCCCAGAATGATCCATAGAGTGTAGCTAAGTGCCAGAGAAAGAGGGAGTTCTATTCAAACCATTTTAATATTGGTTAAGGATGGTGAGGTGGTGACAAGGACTAAAACATGCACGATATAAAAAATACAGTTGGAGACAAGAAACTCAATCAACTCTAGCTCTCTTGAGGAGTGGATTATAGCCAAGCTCTGGATTTTAGTTTTCCAAGGGAGAAGAACCAAACAAATCAGACACTTATGGTTACTTCATGAAGCTGAATGAAATGCAAGGGATGTACAATAGAAATAAGAGCTCAATCCCAAATTAAAATATCCAAAGGTTATTTCATAGAAAGAACAGGCAGAATAAGCTTGCACCATGTGCTTCCAGGGAACTCTGTCCATTTCTCTGTGACAACAAGGGAAACTTCCTACTCTGGAGACGTTGCCCTGAGTGTTCTTCTTGATTTTCTCTTCTTATTTATACCAGGCAGCTAAGAAGTTTGAAATTATTTAAAACCAGGACTTGTGATCACACTGAGTAATAAATGAATTAATATGAGAGGTTAGGGGTTGGAGTATGTTTAATTTTTGTTGAAGCCATCAGTGATGGAGACTTCAAAATTCTCTAGTGTCCTTGTTTTGTTTTGTATTTTAATGTCCCTGTTGTCTATATGCTTTGCTAAGAACACAACACCATCATGAAATAGAGTCTGCACCTTACAACTTTTTCAGCTGCAATCCACTATTATTTTACTTGAGTCCTATTGATATGATGGTAAGAAATTGGGGAGGAGAAGCAGCCTATAATTATATAATTTAAAATCAGACATTAGTGGATCAGTTTTCCTGGGCTGTGACCTTTAAAAGTATTTCTAAGCTTCCCCCTCCCTTCAGAAAAATAAAAAGGACACCCTGGGATAGACTACATAACCTCAGCCAGTTAGCTCAGTTGCTCAGGCATGTCTGACTCTTTGCGACCCCATGGACTGAAGGATGCCAGGCTTCCCTGCCCATCACCAAATCCCAGACCTTACTCAAACTCATGTCCATTGTGTGGGTGATGCCATCCAACCACCTCATCTTCTGTTGTCCCCTTTTCCTCCTGCCTTCAGTCTTTCCCAGCATCAGGGTCTTTTCCAATGAGTTGACTCTTCACATCAAGTGGTCAAAGTATTGGAATTTCAGCTTCAGCATCAGTCCTTCCACTGAATATTTAGGACTGATTTTCTTTATGATTGACTAGTTGGATCTCCTTGCAGCCCAAGGGACATTCAAGAGTCTTCTCCAACACCACCGTTCAAAACATCAATTCTTCGGTACTAAGCTTTCTTTATAGTCCAACTCTCACATCCATACATGACTACTAGAAAAGCTATAGCTTTGACTAGATGGATCCTTGTTGGTAAAGTAATGTCTCTACTTTTTAATATACTCTCTAGGTTCATCATAGCTTTTCTTCCAAGGAGCAAGCGTCTTTTAATTTCATGGCTGCAGTCACCATCGGCACTGATTTTGGAGCCCACAAAAATGAAGTCTCACACTGTTTCCATTGTTTTCCCATCTATTTGCTATGAAATGATGGGACCGAATGCCATGATCTTAGTTTTCTGAATATTGAGTTTCAAGCTAACTTTTTCACTTTCTTCTTTCACTTTCATCAAGAAGCTCCATTTTCATCAGAAGCTTCACTTTTCATCAGAAGCTTAGCTTTCTGCCATAAGGGTGGTGTCATCTGCATATCTGAGGTTATTGATATTTCTTCCAGCAACCTTGATTCCAGCTTGTGCTTCATCCAGCCTGGCATTTCACATGATGTACTCTGCATACGTTAAATAAGCAGGGAGAGTTATACAGCCTTGATGTACTCCTTTCCTGATTTGGAACCAGTCAGCTGTTCCATGTCCAGTCCTAACTGTTGCTTCCTGATCTGCATACAGATTTCTCAGGAGGCAGGTCTGGTGGCCTGGTATTCCCATCTCTTGAGTGATTTTCCACAGTTTCTTATGATCCACACAGTCAAAGTTTTCGTGTAGTCAATGAAGCAAAACTAGATGTTTTTCTGGAACTTTCTTGCTTTTTCAATGATCCAGCAGATGTTGGCAATTTGATCTCTGGTTCCTCTGACTTTTCTAAATCAACTTAAATATGTGGCTCATAGTTCATGTACTGTTGAAGCCTGGCTTGGAGAATTTTGGTTTGCTAGCATGTGAGATGAGTGAAATTGTGCAGTAGTTTGAATATTGTTTGACATTGGCTTTCTTTGGAATTGGAATGAAAGCTTACCTTTTCCAGTCCTGTGGCCACTGCTGACTTTTCCAAATTTGCTGGCATATTGAGTGAAGCACTGTCACAACATCATCTTTTAGGATTAGAAATAACTCAAACCTACGATGGCACAATTCTAGGTCAAGAGAGCAGATATTGTATCACTGAAATAGAAGACCAATGAAAGGACAAGAAATGTCTGTCTACACTGTGAAGAATAGCCTTTGTGTGAATAAGAGTATTTTTTTCCCCTATATTTGGTTTGCAATGTTGTGCTAGATTAAGGTGTTCAGCAAAGTGATTCAGTTATACAGTAAGCCCCTATGTATAAACTTTCAAGTTGCAAACTTTCAAAGATGTGAATTTGTGTTCCATCAACTTCAGGTGAGAGTGGAATTGCAGCTTGTTCTCCATCTCCTAGTGCTGATGACCCTTCAGCTCTACCATATCCCACCTCTTCTCCCTCCTCCAGGCAATAACTCCTCTTGCCTGTTCACTCACTGCCAGCCCTTGTTTGCCAGCCGCTGTGCTGTACTACTGTAGTTTTCAAGATAGTATACTTTAATATCAAAAATGTTTTCTTTATTTTTTTGTATTGGTTTGTTTTTTTATATTATTTGTGTAAAAAGTATTATAACACATTGCATACAGTACTATATGTCAGCTTATATTAGCTGATTATGTCAGTTGACTGAGTGCATGCTCAGTCATGTCCAACTCCTTGCAACCCTATGGACTGTAACCTGCCAGGTTCCTCTGTCCATGAGATTTTCCAGGCAAGAATATTGGAGTCGGTTGCCATTTCCTTTTCCAGGGGATCTTTCTAATCCAGGGATTGAACCCATGTCTCTTACATCTCCTGGATTGCGTGTGGATTCTTTACAGCTTGAGCCACCAGGAATGCCTTGTTAGTTCAGTACCTAGGCTAACTTTGTTGGACCTAGGATAGGACCCTCAGAATTGAACTCATTCATATAGAGGGGACTTAATGTTTATATATATATATTTTTTTCAGATTATTTTCCCTTTTAGTCTATTATAAAATATTATGCATAGTTCCCTGCGCTATGCAGTAAGTGTGTCTATTTAATACATAATAGTGTGTTTATGTTAATCCCAACCTTTAATTTATCCCTTGCTCACCTTTCCCCTTTGGTAACCATAAATTTACTGTCTGCAGGTCTATTACTCTTTTGTATATAAGTTCATTTGTATCATCTTTTGGGGAGCTTACCTGGTGGCTCAGTGGTAAAGAATCCACCTGCCAGTGCAGGAGATGTAAGTTTGATCCCTGGATCAGGAAGAGCTCCTGGAGGAGGAAATGACAACCCACGCTTGCCTGGGGAATCCCAAGGACAGGAGAGTCTGGCAGGCTACAGTCCATAAGGTTGCTAAAGAATCAGATAAAACTTAGTAAGTAAAGAACAACAATAGTACACACACACACACACACACACACACACACACACACACAGGGCTTCCCTGGTGACTCAGATGGTATAGAATCCTCCTGCAATGCGGGAGACCTGGGTTTGATTCCTATGTTGGGAGAATCCCCTGGAGAAGGGCATGGCAATCCACTCCAGTATTCTTCCCTGGAGAGTCCCCATGAAGAGAGGAGCCTGGTGGGCTACAGTCCATGGGGTCGCAAGAGACAGACACAACTAAGCAGCTAAGCACAGCACACAACACACACACACACACACACACACACACACATCTTCTTTATCCATTCATCTCTTGACAGACATTTAGATTGCTTGTCTATTGTAAATAATGTTACTTCAAACATAGTGGTGCATGTATCTTTTTGAATTACATTTGATATATTAATTAGTAGACTTAGGGTTCTAGGATTCCAAGGCAAATTTCTATTGATCTACAGTATGAGGACAGTGACTCTCTCCTTAGACCTTGGATATGAGGATCAGACATTTTCAAAGCCCAGGGAATAAGAACAAGATTCTAGAAGACCAAGAGTTGGGGAAAGAAACCCTATCTGAAGCAGACAGTTTGAGTGCAACCCATTCTCTCTCTAGAGTGGACACCAGTCTTCTCTTAAATTCAGGATGTGAGGCTGGTCCCTCTCCTTCTCCCTCATACCCACTTCAGGGCTCTATATCCTTCTCTAGAAACTGCCTTTGGGAATAGAACTGGCTTGCCTCCAGGGATCTGATCCATCCCGCTTTCTTATTACCAAAGGTTGTGGAAAAGGGCTTTAAGAAAGGTCATAGGGTTGAAAGGCAGCATGTCCATAGCTTGGTAAAAGCTTATGAATTCTGATTCTGAAGTCACATAGCCTGAATAGAGTTTCATTTCTACTTAGGTGCTTGCTGATTCAAGCTA